GAGACAGAGTCTCATTTTGTCGCCCTCGGTAGAGTTGTGGCGTCACAACTCACAGCAACCTCCAGCTCTTGAGCTTAGGAGATTCTCTTGCCTCAGCCTCCCAAGTAGCTGGGACTACAGGTGCCTGCCACAACTCCTGGCTATTTTTTTATTGCAGTTTGGCCGGGTTTGAACCAGCCACTCTCAGTATATGGGGCTGGCGCCCTACTCACGAGGCCACAGGCACCGCCCAAAACTGTTTCTTTCTATTTTCTTTCTCTCTCTCTCTCTCTTTTTTTTTTTTAGACAGGTTCTTGCTCTGTCACTCAGCCTGGAGTATAGTGGTATCATTATAGTTCACTGCAACCTCACACTGCTAGGCTCAAGCCATCTTCCTGCCTCAGCCTCCTGAGTAGCTGGGACTATAGGCACGTGCCACCACACCCAGCTAATTTTCCTATCTTGGGTAGAGATTGGGTCTTGCTATTGCCCAGGCTGGCCTTGAACGCCTGGTCTCATGTAAGCTTCCTATCTCAGCCTTGTAAAGTGCTAGGATTACAGATGTGAGCCGTTGTGCCTGGACCAAAACTATTTCTTGACTGTAGGGCTTTTCAGAACCTTTAATACTCTGCTGTTCACTGAGACCTCCTTACAGCAGATTATGGCATGCACTTCCCAAGAGTATTTGTCCCTAGGATCCTCATTCTGATCCCTGTTTGTGCAGCACCTTGGAATACTCTGTTGTGGAGCTAAGCAGGACTGTACAAGGCAGAAGTGATCAGGATAACAAGTCCAACCCAGGTGGTTTTTAATCAAATCCTGAGGGAGTGTTGGCCTCTTAGAGGGTTGTCACCATCTCAACAGACTCTCTTGATAAGACCAGGGTTGTGTGCCAACTTGTATAAGCTGCATATGTCCTTCTGTGGAAGGTATAAAGTATATCATTGTGTTTTCATGCAATGCAAATGAGGCGATTTTTCTTTTTGTGTTAATTTTTCCCCCCTGTGGGTAAGAACATAGACTGTGCAAGGTAGATCAGGGTTGAACTGTGTCTCATTTTCTTCTGCTTGGGATATTAAGAGTACTTTTACCTCTTGGGATTAATTGGTGCTAGCTATCATTAATATTAATATTTAGCACCCTGTATTACAATATAGTATTAACTGCAACAGCAGAAAGTTATATGACTGACCAAAACTCCCCAGCCCTCCCAGTACACATTGATGGGTACAAAGCACCTGTTCTTTAACCGCAGTTCATCCCTCTGGCCAAACATGCCTGCCAAAATAGAAATAATAATTTTTTTTTGAGACAAAGTGTCATTAAGCCACCCTCAGTAGAATGCTGTGGCGTCGCAGCTCACAGCAACTTTAAACTCTTGGGCTTAAGCGATTCTCTTGCCTCAGCCTCCCAAGAAGCTGGGACTACAGGCGCCCACCACAACACCCTGCTATTTTTTGTTGCAGTT